ACCAATAATAACATAAACAGGTTGATTAGTTTAGATCCAGAAAGGAACCAATAATAACATAAACAGGTTGATTAGTTTAGATCCAGAAAGGAACCAATAATAACATCAACAGGTTGATTAGTTTAGATCCAGAAAGGAACCAATAATAACATAAACAGGTTGATTAGTTTAGATCCAGAAAGGAACCAATAATAACATAAACAGGTTGATTAGTTTAGATCCAGAAAGGAACCAATAATAACATAAACAGGTTGATTAGTTTAGATCCAGTCAGCAGGTGAAGTGTGAGAAGAAGTGGACTGAAAAACTGACGTCTGCATGTTTACCGTTCTTTGGAGTGACTGTTCTGGAAACGTTCACCAGGATCACGGTGAAACGCTTTAGGAACGACACGTCAGGATGGGGGGGGGGTCACACATCGTCTCTATCCTCCATGTTGACCTCGCCTTTAGTCGTCTCCTCCCTCTTAATCTTCGTTAAAACCCAACACTTTCTGCTGATTGGCTGGCCTTCTTTAAGCCCCGCCTCCTGTCCTGTGTCTGCAGTTCAGCTGCTTCTGTCACTCAGATCTATGAAAATGATCAAAATACAGAGAATTGGATTTAAAAAAGAGAGAAATCCTGTCAGCGATGTTCCTGTGAAGAAAAGGAAAGCAAATAATAAATCCTATTTATTGCTTTGAAGTTTTTACTTTAATTTAAGCCATAAAGTATTTAAATGAGGCGATTTTCTCCCACTGCTGAGATCAGAGGGCAGTGAAGTACTCTGCAGTACGAGCAGAAGTACTTTAACAGTTTTACTCAATTACTCTGCAGTACGAGCAGAAGTACTTTAACAGTTTTACTCAATTACTCTGCAGTACGAGTAGAAGTACTTTAACAGTTTTACTCAATTACTCTGCAGTACGAGCAGAAGTACTTTAACAGTTTTACTCAATTACTCTGCAGTACGAGCAGAAGTACTTTAACAGTTTTACTCAATTAACGGTAAAGATAAATCATGTAAGACATTCAGAGAAGGTAACCGATGATCCTCCTTATGAAGACGCTGCTCATCCTGATGGAGAAATGTTCTCAGGTGAGCAGCAGCAGCACAGGTGAGCAAAGATCCTCTCTGTGACAGGAAGCTCACTCACAGCGGAAAACTCCAGAGACCCCGACAGTCCTTTTCTCCTGCTGCTGCCGCTCATCCCGCCTGTCACTGTGACATCATTAATCCCCATTCCACATCATTTCCTGTCTCTTAGGCCTCATAGTTACAGAGTTACTCCCCGCCCCCCCCCAAACACCAAGCTGCCCTTGAGCTAAAGAAAAACATAACAAGGCTCCCACTCAAGTGGAGCTTCTTAACAGCCGGTCATAAAACACATGATAATTGGGAGGAAGCTGCAGAGCTGCAGTTACGGCTCAGCTGCAGGAAACCATGAAAAACCCACAGAGCTGCACTAACAGCATCAGGGCGATGGCGAGGAGCGTCCAGCGCCGTCAGAAAACATCTCTGAGTTACTGACTCACCTGGGTTATGAAGATGTGGGGAAATAAGGATGCTTGGATGTTTACTCTTTGTTCTGATTTACTTTCATTCAGTCAAACATAATTTATGCAGCACTTAAAAAAAACATGCAGTTACCAGCAGATAAAATAAGGAACTAATCAGCAGCAAAAACGTTGGACGGATGAACCAGCTTTAAACTGTGAATAAAAATACAATAAAAAAACAACAGAAGGAACTTTAAAGGATTGTTGCTGCCAATGAGTCAGACGTGGATTTGACCTCCTTTAGCGCTACGCTATCAGAGTACACACCTGTTCTCCATTCTACCTTTGAACCGTCTGACGCTACTCTTAAACACGCCTCACTTTTTCTGATCATATTTAATCGTAAAACACATAACCCCTTTTTTTCAAATAAGTCAAATCTACTAAAATCATGAAAACATTCTTTCTGGGGAAAAAGTGTTTTTTTTTTTGCAACGGATTATAATCAGATTATAATCAGATTATAATCTGATTATAATCTGATTATAATCTGGTTATAATCTGGTTATAATCTGATTATAATCTGATTATAATCAGATTATAATCAGATTATAATCTGATTATAATCAGATTATAATCAGATTATAATCTGATTATAATCTGATTATAATCTGGTTATAATCTGGTTATAATCTGATTATAATCTGATTATAATCAGATTATAATCAGATTATAATCTGATTATAATCTGGTTATAATCTGGTTATAATCTGATTATAATCAGATTATAATCTGATTATAATCAGATTATAATCTTCGTATTTGATTTTAAGCATGAAATCAAACATGAACACATCTGGATATTTTATGTAACTCTTAGAAACCAAAATAAGGTTTAAACCAAAGTTAGATTTTATTTTTCTTGAACTTGTGGAGTGAGTGTGAATAACTGCTGCTCAGCTATCTTCACACATGTGATGGTGAGCGGCGGCGGTGGCGGTGAATCACGCTCGTCCTCGCAGCCTCTGCTCTCATTAGATGTCCAGCTCTGCCTCCAAATGAGCTGCTTCCAATTTAAATAACAAGGAGGGAGGTGGGCTGCGTGTCGCGCTGCTGCCACCGCTAACAGCTGACGCCCAGCAGCAGCTCAGATACCATCTTAATTAAAAGTGACCTTTGCCTCAGTCACTGGGTCTCTCAGCAGAGCCCCCCCCCCCAACACAGAACCAGCAGCGCCATGATGGACGTGCATCAGTGTTGGTCTGATCACTGTGAGAACATCCATCAGTAAATGTTAGACAGTAGAACGTCCTGATCATTGCTGTAGAATAAAAGGATTTAGGTTTTATTTGGAAATCATCTCTAAGCCAACAAAATAAAGATGGAATGTAATTTAAGATTTAAGATTTAAGCAGCAGGTTTACATGCAAAGGCAACGGTTGACAAGGTCCTGCAGCGCAATGCAAGAAGCAGAAGCAGCAGCTGCTGGAGTTGGAAACATGTAACTTTAGCTGCTGGACATCAACCAATCAGAGCAGCTGATCTGGGAGCTGGCAGGGAGTCAGACGCAGCACTGCTGATGCAGAGCGCTATGAACACTCCTCTGAAACAGTTTATTAACGCCTAAATTAAAGGAGAATTCCGGTTTTTAACACTTTTAGCCCATTTTCTGTAGTGTCCAGGATGAAATCGAATGATCGACACCAAAAGTTTGACGATTGGTCCTGTCTCTGCTATTTGGCTCATGCAGAATCCCCCCCTGGCTGCTTCAGAATGGCTTCCATAGAGCATGTCCGATAATGTCCTTAAAACAACCTTAAACGTTCTTTTTTTTAAATATGCTACTCACCGTGTCGTCAGCGCTGTTCAATGACGTTCCAGAAAAAGTTTCGTAAAGAAAAAACGTTCCTGTAGTGTTTTATTTAGCATTTTGTAAATCCCATTGAGTTCTGTTGGAATAGTCAATATTCCGCTGCCACCGGAAACGGAAATGGGGCCTGTTTACACAGTTGTAGTCTTTTCGCTTCACTCTGTGCACTCCGACGTCGAGAATCAAGAATCCACCTTTCGTATTCCATTTTCAGAGTTTTTTAAAGTGTTTAACAGAGACGTTAGCACCTCGACGTCGGAGTACGCAGAGTGAAGCGAAAAGACTACAACTGTGTAAACAGGCCCCATTTCCGTTTCCGGTGGCAGCGGAATATTGACTATTCCAACAGAACTCAATGGGATTTACAAAATGCTAAATAAAACACTACAGGAACGTTTTTTCTTTACGAAACTTTTTCTGGAACGTCATTGAACAGCGCTGACGACCCGGTGAGTAGCATATTTTAAAAAAAGAACGTTTAAGGTTGTTTTAAGGACATTATCGGACATGCACTATGGAAGCCATTCTGAAGCAGCCAGGGGGGGATTCTAAATGAGCCAAAAAGCAGAGACAGGACCAATTGTCAAACTTTTGGTGTCGATCATTCGATTGCATCCTGGACACTACAGAAAATGGGCTAAAAGTGTTAAAAACCGGAATTCTCCTTTAACTTCAAATGTAGAAACCTGCCAACAAAACATGTCCGCTTTATTATCCTGGTGCTTCCAGCTGCCGCGGCAAACTGCAAAAAAGTCACCCGGGCCTGAGGCAGCTGCTGCTGGGGATTCCCAGTGACAGCGCAGCGCCGGTATGTGGGGGTCTGAGCGGCTCCCACAGAGAAATAATCTTTGAAGGCAGGATGGTAATCTGGATGAACTGACTGCACAGACCATGTTTTCAGGAGGACTTTCTCACTTCAACATAGATTCTAACTACTTTCTACCCGCTGATCACAGCTAATATAGCTGCCATTGTTCCAGGCCGAGAAAGGATAGAGTAGCTCCGCCCACCGTGCATCAGAGAGTTTCTGGTTGGCCTGATCTCCTCCATGGTTAGAGGAACTTATTCCCTCTTTCAGCAGCTTTGTCTGCGCGTTTCAAAGCATCTCTTCTTCTGTGGTTCTTCCAGCGTAGAACGCAGCGTTCAGCATCCCTCCTGGATCCACAGAGATGCTTCCTCTAATCGCCTCTATGATGCTAAACATTTCCTGCTAGCTAACAGCAGCTGCAGCGGAGTTGATGGTTCGGCTCCCTGCCTGAGACCGCTGACCCGTGCTGCCTGCTGATGGCGGTCAGGCGGTTTCAGGCGGCTGTGATGGTGCTCGCCGCCGTCAGCAGAGGGGCTGCAGTGTGAAACCTCTGACTTCCTGCTTCCTGTGCATCTCTGGTCTCACCTGTTTGATCAGAGGCTGCTTGTGATGCAGGTCAGCAGGTCGGCGTGTTGCCATGACGCACCAGAGGCTGTAAAACTGTTCAATCTTTTTCTGTTTGATCTGAATCAAACTAGAGCAACTTCTGCAATATTCTGAGGCAACTTTATCAGTTTAAAATGCATTAAATGAAAAGGATGAACTTAATGACTTTTTCACTCCAGGTGTTTCTGTGCGTGAAGCTGAATCCTCTAACGTCGTTCTGCTCTTCCTTCATCCGCAGCTGGTGCTGTTTTCAGGGAAGCTCAACACCATCGCCAGCATTGTGACCATCTTCTTCCTGCTGGTCTACGCCGCCGTGGACTTGGCGTGCCTCGCCCTGGAATGGGCCTCGGCGCCTAACTTCAGGTACTCCTCCAGGACACCCCCCCCCCTTGCTCTCAGTGTTTAGGCCTGGGATGCTGATTAGAAGCATAAAGCATCCGGAGCTGCAGCCTCCGCAGGATGAATAAACTATGAGGCTGAACCGGAGCGATGATGCGTATCGATGCTCGGAGATGAAAATGATTTCTGCTCCCTGATTGGATTATCTCTGCTCAGCTGATATGGAGCAGGTGTGGATGGAAGCATCTAGAAGGGAGGTAGGGGGAGGAGACTGAAACTAGGGGGCAGTAAAGGGCAAACAAGGAATACATAAGAACGCAAATACAACCGAAAAATCTAGAATAACACAAATAAGAGCAATGAAAACTCCAATATAAAGCTTTAAAAGATCTAAAACAGTTAGTTGACAGTTAGAGGTTGAATCTAGCTAAGCTGATGGTTTTCACTCAGGCAGAGACTGATCTATAACAGCAGCTCTATCTGAAGCTCCCATAGCTCAGGGTGGGAATTAATATTTATGGGTCATTTCTGATTTGTCAAAAAAATTCATCAGTTTTCTGTTATTATTTCAATCTGAAAAACTCAAGAAAAAAAAAGACAATAAGAATTTTATTGATAAATTACTTTAATCTTTGGCGCAGAAATTTGATAGACATGCAGGAACAGGAGTAAAGAACAGGGCTGATCCCCCCCAGGCCTGAAACTGGTGGAGGAGTGGAGATGGATGGAGTTGGTCAGTCTGTAGACTGCTGGTTGGAGTGGAGATAGATGGAGTTGGTCAGTCTGTAGACTGCTGGTTGGAGTGGAGATAGATGGAGTTGGTCAGTCTGTAGACTGCTGGTTGGAGTGGAGATAGATGGAGTTGGTCAGTCTGTAGACTGCTGGTTGGAGTGGAGATAGATGGAGTTGGTCAGTCTGTAGACTGCTGGTTGGAGTGGAGATAGATGGAGTTGGTCAGTCTGTAGACTGCTGGTTGAATGGAGATAGATGGAGTTGGTCAGTCTGTAGACTGCTGGTTGGAGTGGAGATAGATGGAGTTGGTCAGTCTGTAGACTGCTGGTTGGAGTGGAGATAGATGGAGTTGGTCAGTCTGTAGACTGCTGGTTGGAGTGGAGATAGATGGAGCTGGTCAGTCTGTAGACTGCTGGTTGGAGTGGAGATAGATGGAGTTGGTCAGTCTGTAGACTGCTGGTTGGAGTGGAGATAGATGGAGTTGGTCAGTCTGTAGACTGCTGGTTGGAGTGGAGATAGATGGAGTTGATCAGTCTGTAGACTGCTGGTTGGAGTGGAGATAGATGGAGTTGGTCAGTCTGTAGACTGCTGGTTGGAGTGGAGATAGATGGAGTTGGTCAGTCTGTAGACTGCTGGTTGGAGTGGAAATGGATGGAGTTGGTCAGTCTGTAGACTGCTGGTTGGAGTGGAGATAGATGGAGTTGGTCAGTCTGTAGACTGCTGGTTGGAGTGGAGATAGATGGAGTTGGTCAGTCTGTAGACTGCTGGTTGGAGTGGAGATAGATGGAGTTGGTCAGTCTGTAGACTGCTGGTTGGAGTGGAGATAGATGGAGTTGGTCAGTCTGTAGACTGCTGGTTGAATGGAGATAGATGGAGTTGGTCAGTCTGTAGACTGCTGGTTGGAGTGGAGATAGATGGAGTTGGTCAGTCTGTAGACTGCTGGTTGGAGTGGAGATAGATGGAGTTGGTCAGTCTGTAGACTGCTGGTTGGAGTGGAGATAGATGGAGCTGGTCAGTCTGTAGACTGCTGGTTGGAGTGGAGATAGATGGAGTTGGTCAGTCTGTAGACTGCTGGTTGGAGTGGAGATAGATGGAGTTGGTCAGTCTGTAGACTGCTGGTTGGAGTGGAGATAGATGGAGTTGGTCAGTCTGTAGACTGCTGGTTGGAGTGGAGATAGATGGAGTTGGTCAGTCTGTAGACTGCTGGTTGGAGTGGAGATAGATGGAGTTGGTCAGTCTGTAGACTGCTGGTTGGAGTGGAAATGGATGGAGTTGGTCAGTCTGTAGACTGCTGGTTGGAGTGGAGATAGATGGAGTTGGTCAGTCTGTAGACTGCTGGTTGGAGTGGAGATAGATGGAGTTGATCAGTCTGTAGACTGCTGGTTGGAGTGGAGATAGATGGAGTTGGTCAGTCTGTAGACTGCTGGTTGGAGTGGAGATAGATGGAGTTGGTCAGTCTGTAGACTGCTGGTTGGAGTGGAGATAGATGGAGTTGGTCAGTCTGTAGACTGCTGGTTGGAGTGGAGATAGATGGAGTTGGTCAGTCTGTAGACTGCTGGTTGGAGTGGAGATAGATGGAGTTGGTCAGTCTGTAGACTGCTGGTTGAATGGAGATAGATGGAGTTGGTCAGTCTGTAGACTGCTGGTTGGAGTGGAGATAGATGGAGTTGGTCAGTCTGTAGACTGCTGGTTGGAGTGGAGATAGATGGAGTTGGTCAGTCTGTAGACTGCTGGTTGGAGTGGAGATAGATGGAGCTGGTCAGTCTGTAGACTGCTGGTTGGAGTGGAGATAGATGGAGTTGGTCAGTCTGTAGACTGCTGGTTGGAGTGGAGATAGATGGAGTTGGTCAGTCTGTAGACTGCTGGTTGGAGTGGAGATAGATGGAGTTGGTCAGTCTGTAGACTGCTGGTTGGAGTGGAGATAGATGGAGTTGGTCAGTCTGTAGACTGCTGGTTGGAGTGGAGATAGATGGAGTTGGTCAGTCTGTAGACTGCTGGTTGGAGTGGAGATAGATGGAGTTGGTCAGTCTGTAGACTGCTGGTTGGAGTGGAAATGGATGGAGTTGGTCAGTCTGTAGACTGCTGGTTGGAGTGGAGATAGATGGAGTTGGTCAGTCTGTAGACTGCTGGTTGGAGTGGAGATAGATGGAGTTGGTCAGTCTGTAGACTGCTGGTTGGAGTGGAGATAGATGGAGTTGGTCAGTCTGTAGACTGCTGGTTGGAGTGGAGATAGATGGAGTTGGTCAGTCTGTAGACTGCTGGTTGGAGTGGAGATAGAATGAGTTGGTCAGTCTGTAGACTGCTGGTTGAATGGAGATAGATGGAGTTGGTCAGTCTGTAGACTGCTGGTTGGAGTGGAGATAGATGGAGCTGGTCAGTCTGTAGACTGCTGGTTGGAGTGGAGATAGATGGAGTTGGTCAGTCTGTAGACTGCTGGTTGGAGTGGAGATAGATGGAGTTGGTCAGTCTGTAGACTGCTGGTTGGAGTGGAGATAGATGGAGTTGGTCAGTCTGTAGACTGCTGGTTGGAGTAGAGATGGATGGAGTTGGTCAGTCTGTAGACTGCTGGTGGAGTGGAGATAGATGGAGTTGGTCAGTCTGTAGACTGCTGGTTGGAGTGGAGATAGATGGAGTTGGTCAGTCTGTAGACTGCTGGTTGGAGTGGAGATAGATGGAGTTGGTCAGTCTGTAGACTGCTGGTTGAATGGAGATAGATGGAGTTGGTCAGTCTGTAGACTGCTGGTTGGAGTGGAGATAGATGAAGTTGGTCAGTCTGTAGACTGCTGGTTGGAGTGGAGATAGATGGAGTTGGTCAGTCTGTAGACTGCTGGTTGGAGTGGAGATAGATGGAGTTGGTCAGTCTGTAGACTGCTGGTTGGAGTGGAGATAGATGGAGTTGGTCAGTCTGTAGACTGCTGGTTGGAGTGGAGATAGATGGAGTTGGTCAGTCTGTAGACTGCTGGTTGGAGTGGAGATAGATGGAGTTGGTCAGTCTGTAGACTGCTGGTTGGAGTGGAGATAGATGGAGTTGGTCAGTCTGTAGACTGCTGGTTGGAGTGGAGATAGATGGAGTTGGTCAGTCTGTAGACTGCTGGTTGGAGTGGAGATAGATGGAGTTGGTCAGTCTGTAGACTGCTGGTTGAATGGAGATAGATGGAGTTGGTCAGTCTGTAGACTGCTGGTTGGAGTGGAGATAGATGGAGTTGGTCAGTCTGTAGACTGCTGGTTGGAGTGGAGATAGATGGATTTGGTCAGTCTGTAGACTGCTGGTTGGAGTGGAGATAGATGGAGTTGGTCAGTCTGTAGACTGCTGGTTGAATGGAGATAGATGGAGTTGGTCAGTCTGTAGACTGCTGGTTGGAGTGGAGATAGATGGAGTTGGTCAGTCTGTAGACTGCTGGTTGGAGTGGAGATAGATGGAGTTGGTCAGTCTGTAGACTGCTGGTTGGAGTGGAGATAGATGGAGTTGGTCAGTCTGTAGACTGCTGGTTGAATGGAGATAGATGGAGTTGGTCAGTCTGTAGACTGCTGGTTGGAGTGGAGATAGATGAAGTTGGTCAGTCTGTAGACTGCTGGTTGGAGTGGAGATAGATGGAGTTGGTCAGTCTGTAGACTGCTGGTTGGAGTGGAGATAGATGGAGTTGGTCAGTCTGTAGACTGCTGGTTGGAGTGGAGATAGATGGAGTTGGTCAGTCTGTAGACTGCTGGTTGGAGTGGAGATAGATGGAGTTGGTCAGTCTGTAGACTGCTGGTTGGAGTGGAGATAGATGGAGTTGGTCAGTCTGTAGACTGCTGGTTGGAGTGGAGATAGATGGAGTTGGTCAGTCTGTAGACTGCTGGTTGGAGTGGAGATAGATGGAGTTGGTCAGTCTGTAGACTGCTGGTTGGAGTGGAGATAGATGGAGTTGGTCAGTCTGTAGACTGCTGGTTGGAGTGGAGATAGATGGAGTTGGTCAGTCTGTAGACTGCTGGTTGGAGTGGAGATAGATGGAGTTGGTCAGTCTGTAGACTGCTGGTTGGAGTGGAGATAGATGGAGGTGGTCAGTCTGTAGACTGCTGGTTGGAGTGGAGATAGATGGAGTTGGTCAGTCTGTAGACTGCTGGTTGAATGGAGATAGATGGAGTTGGTCAGTCTGTAGACTGCTGGTTGGAGTGGAGATAGATGGAGTTGGTCAGTCTGTAGACTGCTGGTTGGAGTGGAGATAGATGGAGCTGGTCAGTCTGTAGACTGCTGGTTGGAGTGGAGATAGATGGAGTTGGTCAGTCTGTAGACTGCTGGTTGGAGTGGAGAT